AAAAAAATGCAATATTGTTAGCTGGGTGTGGCGGTGCACACCTGTAGTCTCAGCTATTTGGGAGGCTGAGGCAGAAGGATCACCTGAGCTCAGGAGGTAGAGGCTGTGGTGAGCTGGGATCACACTAGACAACAGAGTGAGACCCTGTCTTAAAAAAAAAGTCTTTGTAAAGAATGTGTGTGTGGTATGTGTATGTTTGATGGTAAGTGTTTAGCTGGCTCTTCAGATAAAAAAAGCTAGCCTAGATTTGTAGTGTCTTCCAATTTCCATGGTGTAAATAATCCCACCACGGCAATTTCAAACTATCAATATGCTGTCACTAAATGCAGAGCTGGGAAGAAAGTCACATAGTCTAGTATAATATATCCACCGTACAGACATAATACATATAAATAACCTCAAGAGCACAGGTAAGATCATTAGGAAGTAGTAAGATTGACTATTTATTACCTTTGTTTTATTATAACTTAATGCTAGTTTCGATAACCAACTCACAAAATTCCTGACAATTTAAAACAAGCCATTAGGTGCTAATTTCAGTGCCCCACAGTTCATATCCTCTATATTACAACTTCTTTCTGATGTCACTTGACTCTGTGAGTGTGTATATGTATGAATGTGGGGAGTGGGTTTAAACAAAAGTGTCCTTTAAAGGGAGGGTATTCATTCTCATAAAGTGTCCCTGCACTCTTTTTTTTTTTTTGAGTTGGAATCTCACTCTTGTTTCCCAGGTTGAAGTGCAACAGCACACTCATGAACACCACAGCTTCAACCTGCTAGGCTCAGGTGATCCTTCCAAATAGCTGGAACTACAGACACACACCAACATGCCCAGCTAGTTTTTGTGATTTATTGTAGAGACGAGGTCTTGGTTCACCAAGTTTCCCAGGCTGGTCTCAAACCCCCGGCTCAGGCAATCCTCTCGCCTCGTCTTCCCAAAGTGCTGGGAATATAGGCTGAGCCACTGCGCCTGGCCCCTGCATTCGTTAATAAGAAAAAAAAATGCTGGTATGATATCTACAAAAGGCACACTCCAACATATTTGAATAAAACATTTATATTTCACAATTACCTCTGTTTAAAGACTCTCCTGTGCCATGTATTATACCTTTAAGGAAGCAGCGATCCCCGTTAAAATTGGTGAATGCTCTGAGACACTGAACCTAGACTTAGCGGGTAAAAATGACCATCCTGGTCATGTATAGACTGATTCATGATTTTCTTTCCCACTAACCATCCTGATATCTTAAGATGCTAAAGACTGGAGAAACATTTCTGAGGTAAAACCAGACATTCAGCACATTTAGGGATAGATGAAAAAGGAGACAGAAGAGATGCCAGAGACAGGACTATTTTTCCCATTGTTTGAGATATCAACATACAAAGAAAGAGGGTGGCCACTTGGTGCCTACCTTTAAGCATGTCGTCTTTCTCTAATCATCCTCTCCTGTCCTTCCTGAGAGCCTAGCGCTGTGCTTTGGGAGCCAAGGGGGAAACAGTGGGAGTGATGCCACCTGAGGACAATGAGAAAACATCAGAGATGCAATTACAAATGAATGGATGGAGGGGTGACATGGACATGAATATGTGGATTAGGGTGAAGGACACAGGTCAGAGCGCAGAGGCCAGCTCGATGGATGAGGACAGCTCATGAAGCTCCTTGTGCTTCAGACCAAGTAACTTGCTATTGAAAGCAAGCATGGGAGAGTTGTTCCTCCACCCCAACCGCAGGGTTTTCATCAGAAAAGTGCAAGGAATAGATTAGTATTCCAGATCAGTGCTGCTTGTTTTGTTTTCCAAAAATAATCTGTACAAGGTGCTGTGGTTTGAAGGTGTCCCCTCCAAAATTCAGATGTTGTCAATGTGACGGTTGAATAACCCTTGCTTGAAATGCTGGGGACCAGAAGTGTTCCAGATGTCAAATTTTTTTCCCCAGATTTTGGAGTATTTGTGTTACACTAATTGAGAATCTTGAATCCAAAAATTTGAAATCTGAAGTGCTGCAATGAACATATCCTTTGAGTGTCATGTTGTGCATCAAAAAGTTTCAGGTTTGGGATTTTTTAGATTAGAGATGCTCACCTCGTATTAAAAGATTATTAGAGCCGGGCTCGGTGGCTTAGCCTGTAATCCCGTGCCTTTGGGAGGCTGAGGTGAGTGGATTGCCCGAGCCTGCGGGTTCGAGACCCGCCTGGGCAACGAGACCTCATCTCTACAATAAAATTTTTTAAAAATTAGCCAGGCATGGTAGCGCGCGCCTGTAATTTCGGCTACTCGGAAGGCTGAGGCGGAAGGATTGCCGGAGCCCAGCAGGTCGAGGTTGCGGTGGCCGGGAGCAGCCACTGCACTACAGTCTGGGGACAGAGTGAGACTCCAACTCAAAAAAAAAAAAAAAAAGAGGTTATTAGGCCATGAGGGCTCCTCCCTCATGGATGGGTTTATATAAAAGGCTTCTCAAGGTCTTCAACCCTCTTGCCCTTCCCCTTTCTACAACGTGAGGACACGGCATTACTCTCCCCTCTCCAAAAGGATACAGTACTAAAGTGCCATCATGGAAGCAGAGAGACTGGGCTCTCATTAGGCAGCACCCTGATCTTGGACTTCTCAGCCTCCAGAACTGTGTGAAAAAAAAAATTCCGTTCTGCACAAATAATCCATTCTCAAGTATTTTGCTATAGCAGCACAAACAGACTAAGACACCATGTTGTTGTTTTTTAATCTTTTCATTTTGAACTACTTTTAGCCTTACAGAGAAGTTGGGCAAATAGTACACAGAGCTTTTTTCTCAACTTCTATTGTTAACACCTTACATGACCACAATACAATGATCGAACCAAGAAAAATAACATTAATATAATGCTTTTTAGTCCCATCCGATCTGTAATCATTTCTCAGTCTTTTCTTTGTTGTATTAGTTTCCTAGGGCTGCAGTAACACGTACCAGAAACCGAGTGGCCTAAAACAACAGAAATCTCACAGTTCTGGAGGCTAGATGTCCAAAATCAAGGAGTTGGTAGGGCTGTGGCCACTCTGAAACCTGGAGAGGAGAATCTTTTCTGGCCTCTTCAAAGTTCTCAGTGATTCGCTGGCAATCTTTGGCACTCTGGGCTCACAGCTTCGTCACTCCAGCCTCTGCCTCTGTCATCACATGGCATTCTCCTCGTGTGTCTTAGTTGTCACATGGCCATCTCCTTATGAAGACACCAGCCATATTGGGTTAGAATTCACCCTAATCCAGTACAGTCTTATCTTTTAAAGTATACAGATTTATAACTGTGTTTAAAAACACAACATAAAATTTACCATATTGACCTCTTGTAAGTGTTCATTTCAGTATGTTAAATATATTTACATTGGTGTGAAACAGATCTCTAGGACTTTTTCATCTTGCAGATTTGAAATTCTGTATCCATCAAACAACATTCTTCTTTACTCTCTTCCGTCAGCCCCTGGTAACCTCCACTCAACTTTCTGTTTCTGTAAATTTGACTGCCTCAGAGATATGTATGGAATCATGTAGTATTTGTCTTCTTGTCACAACTATGACTTCATCTTAACTGATTACATTGGCAACAGCCCAATTTCCAGATAAAGTCATACACTGAGTTCTTTAGGGATTAGGATATGTTTATCTGTTTTGGAGGAACACAATTGAACCCTTAACACTTTTTTATGACGTTGATATTTTTGAAGAGTACCGATCAGTTTTCTACAATGTCCTTCAGTATGGATTTGTCTAGTGTTTTCTCATGATTGAAATGAGGTGATGCATTTTTAGTAAGAATATCACAGAAATGACACTGTGTTCTTTCCAGTGCATTATATCCAGGAGTTTACGTTGTTAGCACATCATATTCTGTGCCCCATTTTGTATATGTGCAGCCAAAGTGAGCACTCTGCGCTCCATTATGATAAACAAAAAGTCTCCTGTAATCTGATGGTGGGAGGTGAGGGAGCAGTCTCATGGCACATGAAAGAACACAGGAAGAACCCTGGAACCTGGAAAACCACACACGATGTTCTGATGCAGCGTTATGGGCTGGTGATGAAAAAGAGCAGGATTCAGCTAGAATTGGAGAAAAAAGAATAGTGTCAATACTCTATATGCCAAATCTTCTGGGAACATATCTATGCCACGGAACCAGTTGGGTTTATTACTCTTTCCAGCAAGAGATAACAAATGCCATAAGAAACCATGGGGCGTCTTACTAAAAGGACGTTAGAAAGAACATTTGGGCTTTGGGTGATTTTGGGGTAGAATCTGAGAAAGTGGGGATAAGAGCAGTGTGATTGGTAAATAGTAGCACTTACTCATTTTAGTGAGACAGGGATGTTGGGTATTTTGTGGGTTTCACAGTTATTTTGTTTTCATCTTATTTCTATCATGGTCTCAGAGCGACCTTGTTTGATATTGATATTCCATGAGATTGTCCAAGGGAACAACTCAGCTCAGCTATGAGAATCAGATTAGCTTGTGATAACATTGAGGCCAGTTCTTGGATGTCAGAATATTTTATAGTTTCCTCTTTTCCTCAGTGTCCATAGAGGTATTTAGATTATAAAATCAGCAGATACAGCATTGCTGCAGAGAAAAGAAAACGCTTCTACACTGTTGCTGGGAATCTAAATTAGTTCAAACTCTATGGAAAACAGTGTGGAGGTTTCTCAAAGAACTAAAAATTAATCTCCCGTACAATCCAGCAATCTCTCTCCTGGGAATATACCCAGAGGAACATAAATTGCTCTACAAAAAAGATACCTGCACAAGCATGTTTATTGCTGCACTATTCATAATAGTAAAAACAGAGAAGCAACCCAGATGTCCATCGAAAGTGGACTGGATACAGAAAATGTGATACATATACACAATGGAATATTATGCAGCCATAAAGAAGAACAAAATCATGGCCTTTGGAGCAACGTGGATGCAGTTGGAGACCATCATACTAAATGAACTATCTCAGAAACAAAGAAATGAATACCACATGTTCTCACTCATAAGCAGACCCTGAACACAAGTCACATTAACACAAGGGTGGGATCAGTATCGTCAGGCACAGCTAGGGAAGGAAGCGAGGGAGAAGAGAGGAGACATGTGGAAACACAGTGGGTAACCCACTATCAGGTGAGAGAGGGTCTTTTAGAAACCCAGACTTCACTTGCATGCAGCCTACTTATGTTGCAAACCCTCACTTGTACCCCACAACTCTAAAAAAAAAAAAAGAAGAAGAAGAAGAAGAAAGAAAAAGAAAAAGAAAATCAGCAACTAATTGGGGAAAGCTTTTTGTATGTTGTGAGAGAACTCGATGAGTCTCTGAAGTCTCAGGCTTCTATCCTGGCTAGCTTGAATGGATTGGAAGGGATGAGCCGGTAACTGAGCTCAAGGATATGGCTGGAAGAACAGATTTGGAGTCTGAGATAATGAGTCCAATTTTAACCACCCAGAGCTTGAAGTAATCAGGTCAGTTTTTAATCTCATGACTTCAAAGTTGGCATTGTGCACACGCACAGCGAGAAAACAAAAATCATTCATATTAAGACATCTCCTGGAAACGAAAATCACAAATCTGAAAATGCCTCCCGAAACATTTCCATAGCACCTGTCCAACAGGAATATTTAGGGTATTTACGCCTCACACTGAATTTTGTCCACCAAGAGCTACCGTGGAGGCAGCACTGTCTATGAATTTCTATTTCTCACCTAGACTCTCCATTTTACAGCCAGTTCCTTCCTCTG